TAATTTGTTTCGAGTTTCACAAGTGTTTAGCTGTAGTTTGTAACATTATTCTCAAGATAATTGTATGACTCTATTTTCCCCTCTTAATTTCTGTAGTACACATTGGTTTTTCGAAGAGGAGAAGTGCATTCTGTCTCTTCATCAATTCAAGGGGCAACACCTATGAGTTCTACAGCATCAACCGATAACTGTTTATCTGAAATGTACCGCTCACCTCCAAGGCCATTGCCTTATGATGCTGACCCCAGATATATCCGCTTGCAGCGGGATGGATTAATTTCCAGGCGAGAGAAGGGGTCAAGCCATTTACAAGAGGAGTCGGAGCCTTTAAGAGGTGATGTGGATACAGATTCAGATTCTTTGGGCTCATCTGGCAAATGGAATGGATCTGCTTGTCTTGAGGAATCTAAAGAAATTCTTGGCAAGTCATCTCTAAAGTTCCCATCAACTAAATCTACCACTGATGTTGGGTATGCTTATACATCCTCTGAAGATGAGGATGTCTGTCCAACGTGTCTTGAAGGTTGGTTTATTTATTGAGCTTCATTTTATCATGGATCTTATTTTCTTGCTCATAATAATCTATGGTTTTGGCCCTCAATATTCTTGTTTGTTGAGCTTCTGGGTGACAAACAAGTTACTGATCCACACATTTTTTAACGTTCCAAAATTTTGTTCTGCTCATTTAATTTTCTTCTTTTCCCTGGCAGAATATACTTCCGAGAATCCCAAGATAGTGACGAAATGCTCTCATCATTTTCACCTTGGATGTATCTATGAGTGGATGGAGAGAAGTGATAACTGTCCAGTTTGTGGCAAGGTATGGTTCCTTGTATCCATCGGATCATGTAAACTTGTTCAATCACTATTTGAAAGCGACCCTATTCATTGTGTTCGAGTGTCTGACTCAAATTGATGTTTGGATCTGTTTATGTTCTGGAAGTTATGTGTTTCACAAGTGTTCCTATTCACAAGTAAATCAGATTGATGGTACTTTAGTGATCCCAAATCACATTATGATGGTATCTTGAAGGATGTCCGCCTGATTCATGTTGTGTATGAAACTTATGACCATCGCTTGGCTATGATATTTGACAGTTAGGAAACTGGTGGAATGTTGATATTTGACAGTTAGAAAACTGGTGGAATGTTGACAGGACAAATTTTAAATAGGATGCGAAGCTATTGTTAGCTTGATCTGTTTATAAAACAAAATTAAACGTCGGTCCCTAAGGAGTTTAACATGGTCGAATTCTGCAGAGACGGTATTCCTTTTTAGGCTGAATTCTGATTCTAGTGATGAGCTTGGTTAACATTAGAGATTAGATTATGTGATTTGTAAACTGGAAAGGAAACAAACCTTAAGATGTCTGATTCTATTTTAATGTCTTAGGTTATGGCGTTCGATGAAACAACTTGATGTGCGGACGAAGGCAGCAGCAACATCTTGGGCATAACCAACAGCAACATGGTCATTTGTGAATATTGCAGGATAAGATTTTTCTATGATGGTAAATATTATGAATCAAAGTATAACAAAGGTTGTGTCCTCATTTTCAAAGATTATTTCTAAGTTATACAGTTGAATTGATGTTTCACCAAAATATCATCCTATAGGGGAAGAACAATAGGTGTTGTGAATGACTGAAACCTTTCCATTCCATGTTTGGTGTATCCATCTGTTTTCTTTCTTCTCTTGGAAGTGAAATAGGCTCTCACCTTTCAATCATCTCTTCTTCTCAAAGAAACAAAAAGAAATGAGCCAAGATTATGGGAAGTTCATTTTTAGATAACCTGGAGTGAGGAATACTATGAAAGATTATGACTATGGTTGTATGTGAAGTTGGATGCTAAAAAAGTGTGGACAGTAACATAACATGAAATTTGAAACTAATACACTTGTTAGATTGGTCATTGCTCATCAGTGCAATCAAATTGTCATCAAAATTCAGAATTTAATACTATAATACACTATTAGATTGGTTTCTACTGGAAAGTTTCTAATTCAGAAAGATAAACAATTGTGGTATCTGTTCTAATTCTGATTAACATTCGATTGAACCAGACATAATTCAGAAGTCATAGCGGCAAATCTAAGGAAGACAAGAAAAGAAGTGTATTTTCTTAATTCTGACCAGATCCTGATTCACCAAATATAACATCAATTACACTGTCGCTGATAACTCAGAGCAATTCATTCAAATGTGGAAATCAGTTTCGAACCAGATTTCGAGCAGGTTAATACAAACACGTTACGTAATAATGCAATGTTCCATTCAAATTAACGATGACAGCCCTGAACCTCTCCCCCCATTGGGCACAATGGTCTCTGCATCCATTGCATTTGGGTCTTACACCTTGCCTTGCCACAGATGCCTGAGATGCAGATGATGGAAGGAAGATACATGATTAAGAAAGAAAAGGTTTAACGGTATGGGATTGGAAAATAAGGTAGAACAGTAATCAATTACAACAGCTGGCTTGTGATGAGATAAAGAAGAAAAACTGACGAAATTAATACATAACCATAACGTGATAAATGTTTGAGAGTGATTCTAAAATGGCTTAAATCACTTTCGTCATGTTCAAAACCATTCCGAAACATACTTTCAATTTAAACTTCGATTGCATGAAAATTGTAGAGTATAGAACCAAGCATCCAAATAATTTTCCATCTGTTCTAAAAGCCATTCTCGAGAACCACTCATGAATATATCCAAAAACTCAAATATTCTTCTCAATAAGATAGGCTATGAGATTCTTGCTTCAGTTTCCAACTAAAAAAATGCCCACAGATATATAGCATATTCTGTTTTAAGATATTCTTTTACTTGTGTTGGATTGGCAAAACATAAATCTTCAGAAACAATAAGGCTATTTCGCCAGAACTTTGTTACAAATGAATAGGAGATCACTATAGGATATATTTAAAGGAAAGGAACCCTATGAAGATTTGGGGCGACATTGATTTGGTGTTCTCCTCTTAGAGCTTTCTCCTCCAAAGAGTTCTTTAACTATCCTCATCCCTCAATACTTGCAGTGTTCGTTTCGCTCCTTTGGAATTAGATTATCCCCCTATATGTTCTACTACTATAAACCATGTGCTTTTCACTCCTTCAGAATAAGATTCCCCCCTTGTATGTTCCATTCTTATAAATTATAGTCTACAAAAATATTTTTATTATTAAATCTGCAAGAACAAATATGAAATTGCCGTTTACCGAACTTAGGTCATGTGAAAGTGGTACTACTATATTTTCTTTGGTTGTTGGATTATCAAACGTCTATTACAACATGTGCAATCAATTGTCATAAATACTTAATTTTCTGATTTTGAAGATGAAAAGGTAGAGCAAAGGTAAACACAATACCTCTTGTACAAATCATTTACGTATCGCGATCCATTGTAAAACATGAACCACATCAGCACAACCACCAACGTATCTACAATAATATGAGGAGAATTCAAGAGGTTAACAGTGAGAACAAGAAGTAAGATTTGCGCGAACAAAATTTGATCTCACAACAATATCTGAACCAATGAAATTCAACTCCTGATCAGACAAAATCATAAATCCAGTAAACATAAGACACAGGCACACATAACAAGTATAATTAAGATTAGATAGCATATAACCATTTGACAATCAAATCCAAACAGCAGGATCTAACTTTAACAATAGAAAATAAGATTAAACCTTAACGCGAAGAAAAGAAACAGTAAATATCAATAATGATTTGCCTGGACAATAGTACTGGTAGCACAACTTCAATCCAAATCACAAAGAAATGGGTACTATGCATGCTTGCAAGTGATAAAACAGATCACGGATTCATTAGTTAGGAAAAGGTGGGGGTAGAACAGAGAGCATACTGAAGAGGATACGCTCCCACCAATCCAACATGTACAGCCCAAAAGTGACATTGTAAAGGTAGACCTTCCTTTGTATCCAATTCATGACTATAGAAAACCTACAAGCAAGAAGCAACCGCCAAGTCAACTTCAATCTAAAATTTCAGGTAATGGAAGTACGGGGAAACGGATGATGAAACAAGAGGTTATGGCAGTTAAACGATCAAACAAAAAGTCACGTGTTTATTGGTCATGAAGGGCCGAATATTTGGCCGCGTTAAACGTAAGTAGCATAATCGGACGAAGAAACATATCTTAAGAAAGACTTTTGTTTTCATTTTACTCCTCCGACGTCCAAATCTCATCATAAAAAATTAAAGTATTAGATCGAGCGGAGACCATATTCTATTGCCAAACTTCTCGATCGAGCATCACCAAAGAGCAAGGAACAGAAATTTTTCGGATTCCTTCAAAGTCAATTCTAAAAGCAAACACAGATCTAAAAACCCATAGACACGAAAAAAGAGAAATTGCTCAAAAAGAGCCGGTTCCATAAACGAAAGGGAATCGAAAATTAATGAGTTTTCATGCGGTTTTTCCCACGTTCGCTGCAGAAGTCATAGTAGAAAGGATAAATACTCGCTTTTGCTTGAAAGGGGGGCGGAATCAAGCAGGAAATGATGAATTCCAGACAGATTAGAAAGACTACAGATGAACTTTAACAAGAAATTATCAAATTGAAGCTGTTTTTATGACCTAATTCGTCTCACCTTTCATGCAACGGATGGAAATGAAAATTGAGGAAGGGTTGATTCGAGAGCTCTGCCTGGAAGCTTCAGAGGTACAAAAGCTCCTGGAAATCAATGAAAAATTAGTCTGCAGTACCCCTTATTTTCGCCTCGGCCTTTATTTATACCCTATTTATTCCACAAAATTACAAAACTATCCTCCCGAAGGAAGGGCAGGGGTAAGCCTGGCCCAAAACTAACCGTGACCCATCTCCAAGTTTCGCGGGACAACGAAAAACGGCGCTCGTTTTCTTGAAAGCATATAAATTCATTTTCTTCGAACTTCCTTTTCATTTCAACTTTCTTGGCTGATCCTTTTCCTCAGGTACTCTCCTCTCTCCCTCCTTGTCTTTAAATTTTTACGTCGTTTTTTCAGTTTTCACAGTCTGAATTGAATCATACGGCTGACCACAACTTTGTCCTAGATCATCGGAATTGGTTCGACCTTTTCACTGCAATGAGTACTTCTGAATCTGGGTTTTTCTTTTTTGGTCAATCGACTGGTCACTTAATCATTACCCCCTATGAAGCGAGGGATTGCTTATATTATTCTGCAAGTCGTCTTCGTTTTCAATATCTGTCTGTATGCTTCATTTGGTGGAAATTTTCGAATGCTTTAGGGCCTAGAGATGGACATTATGGATGCAATAGCTTGGGGCCGTGAACATACGGTAGCTGTGGCGTCTGATGGGTCACTTTTTACCTGGGGTTTGGCCTTAATAATGCTCTATATTTCTGTCAATAAAATGTTTCTGATACCTAATTATTGTTCTTTTGAGATGTCTAGAAACTAGTTTTTTCTACATTTAAAACTCAACATTAGGCTTCTTTTCCCTTCTTCTTGGGGTTCTTTTTGTTGAAATGGGTTCGAAAAGTAAAAATTGTTTGGAGGAGAACCAGAAACAGTTCAGTTCCCACTCCCGCAATTGTTCAAGTATTTTCATATTCACCCATGCTACTCAGTCATGGTTTCAGACAAAAAGGAAATTAGTATAGCATTGTCACCAGATGTGGAACTGTAGAGCTTCCTTAATCCTTTGTCTTACTTGTCACCAGATGTGGAACTGTAGAGCTACTGAGTCATGTTCTTATGTAGGCAAAAAACCACCCAGTAAAAGCTCAACCAGAAGATCAGCCAGGAATTATTATTCTTGCCAAGGTCTTGAAGTAAGTTTCATTAAGTTGAACTGTTTTTGCACTCTGTTTACCACTGTCAAACATTAATTTTGGGTTACCATCAGAGATTACCTTGCACATCAAACTCATAAAATGAATGGCCTGTGGCATCCCTTAGCAGGGCACAAGCAAGGAAAGTTGCACGCTTCCTTCCAAACCCTGAAAGACATTGGGGCTCCAAGCTGAGAGCTGGTCGTCAAATCACTAGTGTTTACATCTCTCTATTGGATGCAGAGGCAATAATTGGAGCTCTTAGCCATACGGATTACGAAGAGCCTAAAGCACAACGTCCCAAGGTAGAGGATGAATCAGCTCCCAACCAGTAAAAGTTTCCTTATCTTAAATTTTCTATTTCTGAGTTATGCAGTATCTACTTTTTGACCCTCCGCATGAAATGCTCGTTTGGGGACGCTTAGGTAGAAGTAGCAGATTTTTGTTTAATTTTGAGGAAGGCTTTCTTTCAAAATATATCATTTTTGTTCATTTCTAGGAGGTTTAGATTCCTGTCGAGAGAGAGAGAGATCAAGATTTACAGGGAATGCACAAGAAGTCTTTCCCTCTCCATCCCTATGATCAGCAGATGTTTCTGAACGCAAGCTGGTGGTGGTTGTTCTTATTTCCTCTCCAACGGAGGGTTTTTTATTTTTATTTTTAATTTTTGAGCTGTCTTCGTACAAAGTCAAGTTCAATAGGAATACTAAGGTGTTGTATGGATTTAATACCTCTTAGTTTTTAGAGCTTAGGATTGGCAAATTCAGATTGGTGCAACTTATATCTGGTTATACAAAGGAACGAGTTATACGAACTGTGAGCTAAGTCCCAACAAATTTCTAGTTGAATCTAAAATATAGATTTGATGATTTAAGAGAAGTTTAGAAAGAAAGAGATGAAAAAGATCCGATAGCTGAAATTTTGTTTAATCTCTGGTGTTGGATACTCCATTGAGACTTATGCCTTCATCCTTAGGATCGATCGAGTTTGGACCGAACATAGTGAATTGAACAATTGAGATCGAAGGGAATTTGAACATAGCATGTTTTTCAAATGCAACTATTTTACTACTTGTTATAGAGGAAGGTTAAACATGAAGATGGAAAATAAATAAGGTAATTCTTCAGAGAGAATGAGCTTGGTCTTTAGTTTACAATTGCAAGCATCTAATCTTTTAGGATCGATCGAGTTTGGAACGGGAAGGAATATAAGGATGGGATGAACTCGGTTGTCTTAATCTATTTGACAGAGAGATGTACAAATGTTTGTTGGTATTGCTCTGTTTTGACCATATTTGGGGCCCTTTTAGAGGTAAATTTGGTTTCTAACTAGGATTTGAACTGTGTAAGACTAATTTTTGGAGCTTGATCTTGTTGGACTTATCTCAGAAAGCCATGTTGGTTTAAATGTTTAGAACTTGAGGATGTTATCAATAAATCATAGTCATAATACGAAGCCTCTTTTTATTGAGCAACTATGTACGGATATCATATACACATGAACACGGTTGGATTAGAGGTAGCAACAAGGTGTTGCTAGACAATAGTGTAGTTTATACCACAAACCGTTTGATACTTAAGTTGGTTCTTCGAAGTCATCATGAGTTTGTTAGAGTTCGATATGATAGTGAGCGACTGTGAGTGGCTGTAGGTTGGGTTTGTTTAGCAGTGGAAAAAGAGTTGATGAAAATTCAATTTCATTCCTTTTGTCCCTAAGGTCAAGGTGTTAGAATGTTATTGTACATCCTCCCTCCATATATCTCTCTCTACCATTCACAGTGCCTATACATATCATCATCTCCAACTGTACATCGAGTTCTTCACAAGAACTTTTTTTTTTCTTCTTTTTTATAATAAATATTATTGGTTTAATTCAGTCAGTAAGATGAAACCCTAATGTGGAATCCACTTGGAGCTTCCACTCTTGGAAATTTCAACAGTTTATCTCCTCCAACTTCTTCCCACCTGCAAAAACAGAACAAAAAGGGTTTCAGTCTTAAGATCTCAGCTACTGTTTTATTTTCTTGCTGATGTTTCTGAAAAAGAAAGCTACCTGTATTTAGTTACAAAGTAATGTAGAAAAGTAGAAATCTCAGCAATTCCCAGTTCTTTGCCAGGACATTGTCTAGTTCCACCTCCAAAGATGAAGAAGTAATTATGGGACTCCAAGTTTTTGTCCTGCAAAAATGTTACACAAGGGCAAAATGGTCATTTTTCAATAGTGGGTAAGAGAGAGAAGGGTAGAGAGAGAGAGAGAGAGAGAGAGAGAGAGAGAGAGAGAACAATACCCACCAGCCATCTCCAAGGGTTGAAGGTCAATGGTTCAGAATAAAGAAAAGAGTCATAGTTTATCTCTCTGGTATACACATAGATCCTCCATCCTTTTGGAATGAGAAAGCCTGTAAGAAAAAAAAGGTTAAAGATTGAGATTTTTTAGCCCAACATTTTGGTTTGATCTAAGTAAGCACATTGTTGTGATAAAGAGATGAAAAAGATCTGTCATTCTTTATGAGCCTTATCTAATGACTGACCCACAACACAATGAAGAGGGAAGGAAAGTGTCCCAAAATGAAAAGGGTGACTCGATCACTTGAATTACTCAGACTACTCAACTCAAATCATAAAATTTAAGTTGGGTTCATTTTCTTTTTCGATTTGGGTCCGGTTAAATTTTTAGTTGAAAATTCAGACAGTTCATAGGTTGGAACTTTTCTGGTCAGGCTAACCCAACCATAGGTTGGAACTTTTAAGTTGTTTATAAGAACTTTTAGCACCCATGCAACTCACCATTTAGTTCCATGTCCTTTGTAGTTTTCCTCAAGACCCCATTAACAATTGTGGCCAGCCTTGATGTTTCAAAGATCACCTAAACAATTCACAAGCAAAAAACAGTGTAAAGTTGGAATCTTTTTCTCTCTCTTCTTTTTTTGAAGGAAGAAAAACCCTCAAAGAAGTGAAAAGACAACAGTAAAAACATAAAATCATACCGCACGAGTGAACTTCATAGCTTTAAGATCATCCCAATCAATGGGGTCCTCAGGATTTTTCTTCTCTCTGATTGCCAAATGCTCTTCCTGCAGATTTCAAATCTCTAACTTAGAAAAAGAAAAAGAAAAACAAACCCAACAGCCTTTTCAAACTTTTCCAGCTCAGATAAGTTGTAAATCATGTTTTTGGTTCTTCCTTTAATAATACTCACTCTGAGTTGCTGAAGAACTTTGGGATGATCATGGAGAAACTTGACAGCCATCATTGAAGTTGTCGAAACAGTTTCATAGCCAGAGTACAAAACTGTGATGATCTGATCAATGATCTCTTCATCCTTCAGCTTATATTTGTTCTCCTCGCTCATAAAAAACCCAAGCATGTCGTCTTTTTCTGTCTTTGAGGCTCTTCTCTCGTCTATCAGCTTCTGCAACAGCTTTATTATGCTCTTCCTCGCCTGAAAATCACATCAAAACTACTCACTTGTCCAGAAACTGCCGGAGATTACATTACTGGAATTCAAATACAAAACATCTCTTTACCTGAATTCCTTGGCGGTAGTTTGTGCCAGGAAAATCGATGGGGAGCGAGAGGGTGCCGAGAACGAGCTTGAAGAACTCCGGGATGAAAGATTCCGATAGCGGACCGGACTCGATTCCTGCAATCTGCTTCAAAGATGAGCAGAGAGCCATCTGAAGAGGAAGACGGGGGGAAAAAATGAGTGAAAACAGAGGAAGGAGGAGTAACATCATTGGAACAAAATAGCAAATTTGCATTCTTTTCATATAGTTCACCTCTTTAGTCTTGTCTTGGATGTCAATGATTTGGCGATCCCAATTCCTCAAATGGGATCGCATAAACTCATCAACTTTAGGAAGAAGTCGGTCTTTAATCATGGTGGGGCTCACGACGGAGAGCAGAGCAGCTCTCATGAGCTTGTGGGCGCTGCCATGGACGGCGGCGATATTGCATTTGCCAAGGATGTCAAGCATGGACTGAGGGTAACCAGGGACAAGCCCTTTTGATTCATTCATCAGAACATATCTATTAACCTCTGGATCCATACAAACAATCGTAGGACACCCCAAAATATGGGACTTGAAAATGCTCCCATACCTTTTCAAAAACAAAAAACAGAGCAATGTTAAAGAAAATCCCAAAAACCCATAAATCCAAAGCCAGAAAACAGAGAAATCAGTACCTAGCTCTTTGGGATTTCATAAAGTTTGGTCCTTGCTTGAGAAACTCAGTGGTTTCCCCAAAAATAGGCCAGCCCATTGTACCAGGAGGCAACCCTTTTTTGCTGTATCGAACTTCATTCCATCTCAGCAAAGCAGCACAAAAACAGAGGAGCAAGAACAGAGCAAGAATGACCATGGCCAACGCCATTGAAGCTCCCAAGAAAAGAAGAGAGAGATAGAAAGAGAGTATGGAGCTTGGTTGGATTTATGGGTAGCCAAGTGAGTATCATATATATAGACCTCTGAACCACCGCGTGTGGGAGGAGAGAGAAAGAAGGGAGGGCAGTAGTTAGTAGTTCGTGTGTGTTGTGTAGTGAGAGAAAGAGAGATCCCTATACTATAAGGGGAGGGGACCCTACCAATCTTAGAAGAAACTGGTAGGCTAAGGGCCGCACACTGTAAAATTCAATGGCTATGGAAGAAATGAACTTGGCACTCTAATCAACGACTCTTTTTCCACTGCCCCTACGAACCTCCAAGATTTTAATTTCAAAGAACCCTTCATTTATTTATTCTTTGTTATTTTATTTCGATCTATTAAGCCTATAGTTATGTTAACTCCGATAAAATATATTTTTATATATAATGGTTCAATCTTTTATCTTTCCATTATTGAACTTAAAGAAGGGTCTTGAATTGAACGAAGTTTTATCAATTATGAGTGGATAAACAACTAGAGATGTTCACCGAGTGAGAATGGAAAAAAAATCTCTTCTCATTCACCCACTTTGGAACAGGTCCCCTTGGAGCCATGACTCGTTGGAGTAAATGAATATGTCTAGATACAGCAAAAGCTAGAGCTTTTATAATCTGTATTTAGCCACAATGGTTTAGCTCAACATTCGTGTAGACCCAAAATGGACTCGGGAATTAGAAGTGGAATAAAATTGGTACGAGAGAAGAAAAGTGATATAACATAGAAGCTTAGTAAGAAAGGATGTGCGGAAGAAGGAGAGCACATGCAAAGCACTCCATTTTACCAAAAAAGAAAAAAAAAATCCTAAAAGTCGGTCAACAGAATTTACATCATCCACTACAAACACGCACATTCTTACCTTACCATGTGATATCAAAAGTTTATAATCCGTTAATATTAAAAATAAATAAAAAATTTTGTCGGGATGAAGATTGAAATAGAAGACGAAGATAGAGACAGACGAGAAGGCTTTCATATCTCCTCCTTGCCTTATGGACACATCTAGTCATAATAATGATAATTAATTATTAGGCGACGGGTTATTAAATTCAATAATAGGGCTGCTACCCTTGTATTAAAATACAAATTCACATAGGCCTAGGTATAGGTGTAGAGTTAAATATGCACCAATCAAATGTTGGAATTTCTATGAAAATATTATTTAATGTTGGAATTTCTATGAAAAAAAATTATTTAATAATAATTAATTTGTGAAAGAAAATGAGATTTAAAAAAAAAAATATTGAATATTAATCATAGGGCAAAGCCTCGAGTTTGATGCCTCAATGATGCTCAAAAAGGTTCCCCAAAAGTGCATCTACCTTTCAACTCACTCTTCCTTGGGAATTAAAAATCCACCATTTTTTATTTATTTATTTATTTATTTATTATTGTTGGATAATGAAAGTCCCATACCCACCCAAATGGTTAGTAAGATTAAAAAATACTCTTACTATTAATAATATTCGTTTTAAATGTATTATTAATCCCCTTTATTTTTATAATTTTTTTTTAATGAAAACGTGTATTTAATGATTTGGTTTAATAACAAAAACGTGTACTTAAAAGGTTTGGTGCGTGCCATGAGGAATGAAGCTTACAAAGAAGATTGAAATAATTGTCTTGTTCTTACGATCTTTCACGGAAGACACCCGACACTTTGGTTGGACAAAAACGACGAAGTTCGGGAAGAAGAAGCGGAAAGCAAACAGTTAAAAAAAGAAGAAAAAAACAGTGAAATGAATGGAAGGGGAGGAGGGGCAAGGGGTGTGGCAATCATGGTTTTGATTGTAGTAATACGCACCATTCAAAATAGTATTGAGAGGATGTGGGGGTGGCTTCCGTACAGTTGGTGTACATCATGTTCATCAGTCTAATCAACACCTTATACCCCCTTCAAAATCACACATTTATTTTAGTTTCCAACTCTCTTGAATCTCTAGTCGGAGGGGACGATTGTCATGGACGAGATTTAACCGCTACCATGTCAGGTACCGACACTCTCCTATGGTTTGTGAAGATTGTCTCGCGATGTCGTCTCTATTCTCAATTGTGAATAGAGCGTTTCTTAACATCTTATTTCCAGATTCAACACCTAATTGCAACAACATTCCCCAACAACATAACCACGTTACCTACTTATTCTAAACACGCTTTGTTGGATGATCAAATAAAATCCCACACCGACTAATATAGAAAATGATCATGGGTTTATAATCAAATAATACTATCTCCATCGGTGTGAGGCCTTTTGGGGAAGCTCAAAGCAAAACCATGAGAGTTTATGCTCAAAGTAGACAATATCATACCATTGTAGAGAGTCGTGTTCATCTAACACGCTTAATGGAGGACTAAGTTATCCCGTGTCGTTTATTCTTAAATTTATGTGAAACTCGCGTAAGTATACACATACAACGTTAAAATTTCGTCGTGCGGTCGAAGTTTCCCCCCCTATTTTTCACTCTCTTGTTTTGAAGGCGAAGGCGACTTTGTTGTCTGGGGGTGGCACTAAAATTTGGAATGGATGGCGACTTGAAGAAAAGGGTGGATCCATTGCGATCCCTTTGAAAAGGATTTTACATAATTATCAAAATCTCAACTTTATTTATTTTATTTTTTATTTTTTATTTTATTTTCTCTTGAAGAAGTAAATTTCCTACCCTTTTTCCCACCACTATTCATATATGGAATACCCTTTAATTCCTGTAGACGTGGAGGGTATTGCCACGTTTGAGATTCTTTTTCTATTTAATGAATATTTTAATCTCGAATTATTTTTAAAATATTGTTTATTTATTAAATATTGGATTTTGTATTTAAAAATATAAAAATCTAATCCTTTTTAGACTTCAAATTTTTAAATATTGAAAGGGATTGAGAGGCATTTATTAAGACTAAAGATAGATAATTCCAATCATAAATATTGTTGTATGATTTATTATCATTATTATTATTATTATTATTCAAAAGTCGTAAATTTAATCAAATGAATTATACATTAAAAAAAATCAAATATGCGATATAAATATGTACTCGTTAAATTTAAAACAAATTTGGGAAAAGTATTTAATAAATGCGATTAATTTGTTTATTGGTCACTATTTTAATTTTATTTTTAAAATAGTAAATAGAGAAAATAGGAAAGTAGATTGAATTGGTTTTTTTTTTTTTTTTTTTTTTTTTGAAATATCATGCCTTGCCGACATTATATGATTAGAAATGAAAATAATTATTAATTATTGAAAAGAAAAGGAAAAAATAATAATAAGAGACGGAGAAGTAGGGTGATGGAGATGGATGAATGCACACGCCTTCTTTAGAGAGAGAAACCAACACGGTTAGAAAGAGATAGAGACATGTTCCTAGAAGTTGTCTCGGATACGACTTGTATAATGTTTACGAGTCTTTTTAAAATACCTATTAATTTAAATATTTTTAAATATATATTTCTTAATTTTTGAGATAGAAAATATATATATTTATATTTAAAATAAGAAATTAAAATTGTTTAATTGGAGAAGGAAAGGGATGTGTGGGCAGATGCACACATGCGGGTTGGAGAGTGGCGAGGGTGGATTTATTAATAAATTAATAATTAATAAATAATTATAATTATAAAAAAACGGTGAAAATGGAAAAAAAAAAAAAAATTAGTGATATACATTAATTTGAAAGAACCAGTTGCACGAGGGGTCTTTTTTGTCTTTTCTGCTGTTTCTATTTCTCTCTCCTCCTCCCTTTTTCCGTTACTATTTATTTCTCTCTCTTAATAATTGAAGGGAACTCCATCTCCCTCTGTCACATGCACATGCACACGTGTGGACTCATATTTATCTTTTTTATCTTCCATATAAACATATTTCAACTTATAAATATAAATATAAATACATCCCATCCTTTGTTTTTTTTCTGTTGATATTTTTAAGTTCAACCATGATTGTAAAGGCTATCCAATTGTTTATGTTCTCTACTCTAACAATTTATTGCTGAACTTATCAAGTTTTGTGTGTCACATTGTATTTTTTGAGTGACATATTGGTGAGAGTCTTTGCAGTGTGATAGTGAGGTATTCACTTGTAATACTTTGTTTATTAGTGATTGGTTACTACTCGTGAATGTAGGGAAACTTCTTCTCTCCGAACCACGTAAATATCTTAGTATCTCGTTGTGTAGTTCCGTTCATGGGTGTTGTGAGTACATTTATTCCGCTTTCGGAAAAATGGTGAAATTAATTTTAATTTTGTTTGAATGAGGATTTGGGTTATAAAATAAATTGATTGCAAAATTTAATTATTTGCTCAATAATTATGATTAAAATTAACATGTTGCTATTTTGCTATAGCTCCCTTCTATCCATAACAGTACATAACAACAGTAATGCTACTATTTCTTGTCCAATTCTTATTTGTATTTATTATCAGTGGTTTTTTTAAAGAAAAAAAAACTTAAAATTTGTTTTTTTTTTTTTTACATTATTATTTATCTAAACTAATTCTCTAAATTGATTAAACTAACAAGTTCGATAAAAAAAATAGTTTTTAAGAATAAAATCTGGGTCTTAAAGTCAATAAAGTATAATTAATAACGACAAAATTAAAGTCAAAGTTTTGAAATATGAAGATTAATTTCATAATTTTTTATTGGGATGCGTGAATTTCAATAATAGTTATGTTTTTTTTTTTTAAATTACTAATTAGAATCTAATTCATCACCTCTATACTTATTCTAAATTAATATATTTAAGAAATTAAACAACTCAATTTATCTTTTAAATATGGTAATATTTTAATGAATTATGCAAGTAAAATTGATGCATGCCATTATTTTTTAGTTATTTTATAAATTTCAACATAATTTAGTGACGTATTAAATACTAATATTTTTAATGTTTTATGAATGATAAAACTCCGAAATTATAAAAAAAAAATACATAGGAATGAAATTATAATGTATATTTATGAAATTGTAAGAATAAGTGTAGAAATACATTAAAAGCTTCGAAAATTCAAAAGGGGAATAGAAACATGATTGTGGAATTGGACCCATAATTGTTTTTTTTGTATTATATTGAAATAAAAATTAAATTAAAATAAAATAAAAAGAGGAAAGGTAAAAAAATTAAAAAAAAAAAAAAAAAATAGAGGTTTATAGGAAACAGAGGTCCTTATCTTATCAGACTGAGAGAGGCCAGTTGGGTGAAACACTGATCATTGT